ATAACTGACGTTGATAAATTTTCTATTGGAGATGGAGAAATGGAACATCATTATTTTTGCCTGAAATTCAGTTTTCCGAATTATGTCATTTCTATTTACCTGTTAATCTTCATAATCATGAGGAGAACTCACTACTGCAGTGTTACAGTTATTAGATCTAGAAAGTTTGATACTTCCAAATAACAATAGACCAGTCGATTTGTTATCAGTGATATCAATCAATCGCGGGGAAAGGCCTAAACTACTATATCCTTAAATATTTGGAAGGTTTCGACATCTTGAGCGATCATCAATATGGCTTTCGGAAACAGAGATCAACAGGCGACCTTCTATTGTATGTCATCTATATTTGGAATAACGCAAACGACAAACATGGAGAATCAAGAGTGTTGCGCTTGATATTTGTAAGGCCTTTGACCGTGTGTGGCATTATATTAGGGTTTGCTGGCCAAACTTCGATACCATGGCTTGACTATGTATGGCTCTTCAGTTTCCTGAAAGAACGTTCCCTGCAAGTGGCCGAATACTTTCACCATCAACGCTGGTGTTCCCCAGGGGTCTATATTGTCTCCAACCCTCTTTTTATTGTATATCAACGACTCCTTGGAAAAAAACAAGAATCCAATACATTGCTTTGCTGACGACAGCACACTTGTCTCGTCATTCAATTTGGATTCCGGGACATCGGCTGCGGATGTACATCTTTACCGACAGCAGGGTGTTGAATATCTTGATGAAGATCTAAAAGTGAATTCGAATTGGGGTGGAAGTAACCAGGTTCAATTCAATGCCACAAAAACTCAGGTATCGGTTTTCTCCAAGAAGATAAATGTCTCCGAATCGGATATAATAATGTCAAGTGCTTCGATAAGTTTGTTGGGGTGTTAAAATGGACATCAATATGTCTTGGCACAATCATGTCCCTGGAACTGCACAGGCTGCTTTTTAAAATCTTGGAACACTGATCCAAACCAGAAAACTGTACACACCTCAGCAACTTTTGATGTTTATAAAGCTCAGTAGCATTGATGAATTAACAGGCAGAGTCTTGTTGACTTACCTACTTAATCTTTCTTCCTTGAGGGTTCATTCCCCTCGTGTCTTAAACATGCTATTGTAGTTCCTGTTCACAAGAAAAATGATAAGCACTTAATTTCCAACTACAGAGGTATTGCATTGTCGTCTTCATTTTAAAAATTTTTTGAAAAATTCTATCTCAACAGACTTGTATCCTTCTGTAAAAAGTATAACCTACTCGCAAAGAGCCAGTATGGATTCCAATCTGGTTTATCAACCCAAGATGCTACTCTTTCTCTAGTCAATCATGTTTTATCCAAATTTGAAAATGGCGGAAAATTGATCAGTATTCTTACCATCAACCATCAACTTCTCCTCGATAAACTTTATGATATTGGAGTTCGCGGCCAAAGTCTAAAATGGATTAAGACTTATCTGACTGACAGATCACAATCTGTTAAGGTTAGGCTTAAATCGGGAATATATCATTCTGAAAATAGTAACATCTTAACAGGTGTTCCTCAAGGTAGTGTCCTGGGTCCTACTCTCTTTCTTTTATTCGTCAACGACATCTCTAATATTAATCAACAACATTGTACTGTACAGTTTGCTGATAATACGTCCTTCTTTTCGAGTTCTTCTTTTTGTGAAGGGTTTCTGACCAGGCTGATATTGCAGTTGCTAATATGCTCAATTACTGCGTCAGAAACGGCCTCGTACTAAATAGCAAAAAATCTAATACCATTGTTTTCTTGCTTAGAGAAATGGACTGCAGTATATTGTTTAGAAAATCAGTCAAATTCTTAGGGTTGAACATTGACTCCCAATTATCCTGGAACGATCATATGGACTCTATTTCTATTAGACTATCGAAGCATTGTTTCGTTATTTGGAATCTCAGAAATGCTGCCCTCATAATATTTTACTAAGCTACTACTATACCTATGTTCACTCAAGTCTAAATTATTGCTTAGACTGCTACGGCAACTGTAGCAGATTGAATGATCTGTTGATTGCTCCAAAAAGATACTAAGAACCATGTGTTTTGAAAAATATGGTGATTCTTGTAAGCAGTTATTTAATGAGTTACAAATTTTAACTGTGATATCCATGTATATTTTAAATTGTGTCATGTCATCTTGAATTTAGACAGGTTGGAGCCTGGCTCCAACCTGTCTACCCTCTATAGAGGAAAGTCGCCTAGTATGGGGGTAGTGCCTAATATGGGGTAGTTCAATTTTAAGCAAGTTCCGACACCTATTGTGAACATTAAAAACTAACCACCAACTTAATAGAAAGCGCCCATTCACGTTTTGGAGCAAACTCGTGTTGCGTTTCGATGATTTAGTTTATGGTAATTTTGTGAATGAATAAAAATTTTTGGTGACTGTTACATTTAACAGGCAACTTAAAGGTAAGTTTTCAAAAACTTAATGATATCATTCAGTACAGAATTTGGCGTAGTTTATGGAAATGTTTATTTAAGAAAACGTCACAGTTATAAGAGCGGCCACCATGGATACAGCTATAAACGGGTTTAGAAAAACTGGAATGTTTCCCCTCTGATAGAAACGCATTCAAAGAATATGATTTTGTGGCAGAAATGCAAGGAGCAATTAATGAAGAAAGAGTAGAAACAAAAACAACGTATGAAGAAGAAGTAGAGGAAGACACAGTAGAGGAAGAACAATTAGATAACAACGAGCCAAGAGAAAAAACCCTGAAAGACAAGTCACCCCTCCAAGACAGCAAACCGCTGAGAGACGGGTTACCCCTGAGAAACAGATTACCCCTGCAATCATGATGCCTGTTCCAACTGCTTCAAAAGTTATTATTGAAAAAAGGATCACAAAATGTGGAAAAGCTGCCGTTGTAACTAGCACTCCATACAAAGAGGAATTAGAGGCCAGCATAGAAAAAAGAAATTTGTTTTCAAATTCGGGCGTCAAAATAAATATTAAGGATTCAAAACCAAGTCAGCAGAAAAAAATTAAACATAACCAAAAGAAAAAGAAACAGTCAGTTGCTATAGAAAAAGCAAACAAACGCAAGTTGGTGTCCTGGAGTTCTTCTTCAGATTCGGACCAACAGGTAGAAAACTTTGAAGAAGATGCTATTTGTATTTTTTGCGAAAATCCGTACGGCGAAGATGTCAAAGGCGAAGAGTGAGTAACGTGTTAAAGTTTTTCATTGATCTTTTCAAAACTTTTTTCGAATTTCCAAAATTTTGAAAAGTTTCCGAGATATTAAAAAAAACTAAAGCCTCTTTTTTTTTCACCTAATTGTTTATAACTTTTGTAATTTTCATCGGCGCGTTTTCGGACCTTTCCTTAAACTTTCTAGGCAAAAATAGGAATCGAATGACACCTTGGTCGTAATTTTTGGACAGGGCTGAAAAATGTCACCAAAACGAGCTAAATCGAGTACATGTGAACCAAACTAAGAGACAAATCTCTAACCTTTCCTCGATGTTCCAGAGTATCAAGGTTGCAAGTGATGTTCGCGTCTCCTATCATGCGGATGGTTCTTTTCTGTCATAGCGAAACATGTCGTGATATTTTTGAAAATAAAGTTTGTGAAGATCAAATCTTTAGATGTAGTTTGTGAAATTAGGATGGATATTCAACAAGTAACGGCCGTCAATCAGAAAACATAGATATCTAACATATCTATGTAACATAACTGTGTTTTGCGTGTTCGGGAACTTTCTGCTATCGATAAAAATGCATCGAATAATTTTCATCAAATTTTGTCCAAAAAATTAAATAAAGTATTCAGAAACACTTGAAATGTTGACAGTGACATACGGTGATTGTACTCTGAGTCAGAAAAATGTTTACAAGTGGTACAAGCTTTTTACAGAAGGTGAAGGAGGAAGGACGACGCTCACCCTGGACGGCCCAGCACATTATGAGAAAGTGAAGAAAATTGTTATAGGGTATTATCGAATCATTATTAGACAAGTTGCTAGGGATGTCGACATATCGATTGGTTCATGTCATGATTTTTTTTCGTGAATTCTGACCAAAAAGCCGTCAGGAATTGTTGAATGACGTCAAAGGCGATCTATATTTGCCTAAAAGGATCATAGCTGGTGACGAATCATGCGTAAATGGTTATGAAATCGAAACCAAAGTCCAATCGTCTCAATGACCAATAAAGCACGACAAGTTCGGTCAAATATCAAGATTTTACTCACTGTTTTCTTCGATTATCGTGGCGTAGTGCATCAGAATTGTTTACCACATGGTCGCACGGTCAATAAGGAGTATTATCTTGAAGTTATGCGCCGCTGGCGGAAAGCAGTACGAAGAAAATACGAAGAAAACGTCCGGTAGTGTGGAAAAACAATCCATGGCTTTCATATCACGATAATGCACCTGCTCGTTGCTTGTTAGTATTTTTTTAGCCAAACACAACACCTTCATTTTTTCTCAGCCACTGTTTTCAACAGATTTAGCCTGATGCGACTTTTCCTTGTTCCCAAAATTGGAAAGGACAGCGTTTTGCGACGATTGAGGAGATAAACATGATTGGAAAAAACAAAGTGTATCTGGAGGGGACTACTTTGAAGAGGACAAATGGAAATTAATGAAAAAATCATTATTCTTTGAGAAAAGTATAAAGTCACCCTATTTTCAGAACAGTACAATAGGTTTACTTTCTTCATTTTGGAGCATGTAAATAACATCCATCAATTTATTATTCATTCATTATTATTCATCAATGATCTCTGTCCGCTGAGCTGCAGTCCGACAAACGGTACCTCATACTCAAAAGCTTCCGACTGCCGCCCTCAACTCAGGCCCGGTGAAACGTCCAAGATTTTCAGAGGCTAGCCCTGAATTTCCGGCTCGTATTCGGAATCATATGAAGCTTTGATCCGACAGTTGCGCCCAGGCTGCCGAGCGCTCTGTTTGGAGTTGGCCATGACGGTCGTCGAGAGGCCGTACAAACACGTGCTTCAAATGTTTTGATTTTCGAACGTAGAATAGACAGACATTTACTAACCCGCGTTGTTGTGTTGTGTTTTTGTTTTTTGTAGTGCTTCTATCCAATAATCGAAATATGTCAAGTTGACTTGAAATTTCTGCTCTTCAACGTATCATTTTTTGTTAACATGCCGTGGATAAAATCATGCTTGTGCCATCAAGAAAAGAAGAAGACCCCAACCATCAGCCCACCGATTCATTTGTTATTGAAGGTAATGCAATTTCCAATTTTGTAAAAAGTAATAATAATAATAATCGTTTTTAATCGAATATAATCGTTTCCAAACTTTCATCTCTCCACTATATGTTTAGAAATCTCAAAGTTGTTTTGACACAGCAACAATTAATAAACTTATACTATGCACAAGTGGAAAGTCGACTGAGGTATGGTATTTGCCTATGGGGAGATTACACTGTCGAATAACGTCCTCGTATCACTGAAAAAAATCATTAGGTGTATTGCTGGAGTGAAAAAAGACTATTCTTGTCGAGAAATTTTCAGAAGATTTGAAATTCTGATCTGTACAGGCCTCTACGTATTTGAAGTCTGTATTTTTGTGTTCAAAAATAGGGATTTTTTTCTCATAAATAACGATTTCCACGAATACAACACACGTCGTGAGGATGATTTACGATTACCACTCTTAAAACGCAATATTTCCTATAAAGCTCCAGCTCGAATCGGCGCAAAGATTTTCAACAACTTACCTTCCTCCATTAAAAGCTTAAAACATGAACGAACTTTAAAAAAAAACTCAAAGAATACCTGGTTGAGAAATGTCAATACTCTTTAAATGAATACTTTTAACTTGAATTTTTATTTAATGTGAATCTGTATTTTTATTAAGTCAATATTCTGTGTATTATGTATATGTATATGTATATGTGAACATGTCTTCGTAGTGTTATATAATCCTTAATGTACTGTTATGTTCCTTTTGTAAGTACATTTCTTCATTTAAATCCCGACCATACCATCATGGGGTTGTAACCATGACTCTTTCTTATACGACTGTATGTTGTCTTAAAGAAATAAAGTGATTTGATTTGATTTGATTTATCGACTGAAATACAAATTATATAAATACATAATAATATGACTATACCAAATATACAGTGCATTTCTTTAATGTCCCGCCCCTTTAATTTTTTGAACGGGTCAACTCGAAAATTGAAATTAATGCACGAATACTTTATTTTGAAGTGAAATTGACAGACGAAACTTTCAAGATGGCGACTGGGCGCCATTTGGGAATAAAATTAAATGGAAACGGGGGTCTTGTGACACATCATTTTGAAGCTCCTTACGAATACTTCACAACTCTTGAATTTAAAGTCAATATCTTCACCTACTACAAAGTAGACAAAGAAGACAAACAAATTAACATCGATATTTCTAGAGATATTCCTTTTTATCTGTCATGTTGAGTTATTTTTTGTTTATAAAAATGTTGAAAAATGTCATGTACGACAATGAAAATCATTGTTCAGTTAGAATATTCTCATTTAGTTTTCGGTTTTACTAGCAGAAAGGTACCACGTCAACAATCTCTGAAATGGTCACTTCTCGTCCATTGGAAGAAAAAATTGAAGCGATTTTTATTTACGGTGCGACGCGTAACTTTCACGAGACAGAAAGGATTTTCAATGAACGTTTTCCGAATCATCCTATCTGTAGAAAATATTTGAGGAAACTTGTATCCAAATTCACAACTACGGGTAGTGTACATAACAAAAAACTCCCGGGTCATATGTCCATTCCGGAATAACGGCAAGTGCAAATAATTAGTGAGATGGTAGTAAATCCTGAACAGTCTACTTATTCCGTCGTGAATATTTGTGAGGTGTCTCCTTCTACTGTGTGGAGACTTTTGAAGAGGAATTGGTCTCATCCATACAAAATTAAAATGGTACACCAATTAACTGAAGATGACCCTGATCGAAGTACAGACTTCTGCGAAATCATGACAGAAACAATTGCAAGACATCCTACCTATCTCCACAATATTTCTTTCAGTGACGAATGTACATTTTTTCAATCGGCAATGTCCACAGACAAAATTGCTGTTATTGGAGTGGCAACAACCCTCATGTTTTCCGGGAAACACATACCCAATATCCAGAAAAAAACAACGTTTGGGCAGGAATATTGAGAAACCGTATTGTAGGACCTCTATTTATTGATCACAATTTAACTGGGGAACTGTATTTGAATATGCTGGAAATCACTGTTAACCCTCTTACCACTGAAATCGTCGAAGCGAATCCCAATGAATTTGAAATGGATATTGTATTCCAACAAGATGAAGCACCACCAAATTGCTCCAGATAAGTAAGAAACTATTTGTATACTACTTTTCTCGGTCGTTGGATTGGCCGTCGAGGTTCTATAGAATGGTCAGCCCGCTCGCCAGATTTGTCACCTTTGTACTTTTTTATGGGGCTATTTGAAGCAAAAGGTGTACGAAACTAAACCTGCTTCAGTATTGGATATACGGCAGAGAATAATAAATATTTGTAGAGATATTGACGTTACTGTGTTCGAAAATGTTCGGCGTGAAATATCGGATAGACTGTTCATATGTCAAGTTCAAGACAACCATTTCGAACATTTCACTATTCGGACTTCCATTGTCTACTATATAACCACTCTTTTTTAGTGGTTCCAGGGATTTCAAATCATTTTATATAGTAGACAATGGAAGTCCGAACTAGTGAAATTCATTATGAAACATTGTCAATCACCTTCAAACAAACATTTGGAGCATCTTCTGAACTGATCTCAAGCTTATTACCTATCAATGTATTCGGGCAATTATTAAAAGTTCCGCCATTTTGTGAAGCATTTGCCAGGAGCTTTAAAAAGATGTTTCACAAAACCCGCCTTACCATTTAATTTTTTCCCCAGATGGCGTCCAGTCTCCATCTTGAAAGTTTCATCTGTCAATTTCACTTCAAAATACAGTATTCATGCATTAATTTCATTATCCCAAATTTCAATTTTTTGAGTTGACCCGTTCAAAAATAAAAGGGAGGGGACATGCACTGTATAGAAAATATACAGAAAGGCAGAGTTCAAGTCTAGTGGGCAGAATAGTCTAGTTCATATGTACTTTTTTTTGAAACATTTTTCAGCCCTGTCCAAAAATTACGACCAAGGTGTCATTCAATTCGTATTTTTGCCTAGAAAGTTTAAGGGAAGGTCCGAAAACGCGCCGATAAAAATTACAAAAGTTATAAACAATTAAGTTAAAAAAAAAGTGGGCTTCAGTTTTTTCGTAATATCTCGGAAAATTTTCAAAATTTGGGAAATTTGAAAAAAGATTTGAAAATACCAATGAATTTGCGTAAAAAAAGTCTGGACTCCCGAAACTTTATTTTGATTATTTATAATTTTTACAGAGCCCTGAAAATAGAGCCAAAAGCGGGTAGTCTGGCTTCCGCGTGCCTTTCGTCACTCTGACATAAAAACAAAAAAAATTTTTGTAATTTTTATCGGCGCCTTTTCGGACCTTTCCTTAAACTTTCTAGGCAAAAATACGAATCGAATGACACCTTGGTCGTGATTTTTGGACAGGGCTGAAAAATGTCACCAAAAAGAGCTAAATCGAGTACATGTGAACCAGACTAGAAGAGACTTGTTCTTCCACTCAACCACAAAACGTGCACCTCAAGTAGATGTACAAAAGGATGTTTATTAATATGAGATACTGATGCAGTTATTTGGATACATTTCATGAAGAAGAAGCTAGTGGAAGATTTTTATTCCAAAATTCATTTCTAACAGACTTGGATAGATTTATCTTCAAACAATATTGATCAGATCGCTACGCAACACAATTGAGATCATCATTAAGTAAGCTGGTAGCATGATTTATGTTGTTTTCATAGGTTTGAAACTGAACATTGTCGAATTTTTTTCAAAGACAAAACACAAGCAATACAGAAAAAACCTTAAGTCGCCCTGAGATTGGTGCCTGTGCGAAAGTAGTGATTCACATTGGATTTGAATCGCTGGAGATTGAATCCATATGGAAAAACGTTCTCAGGAAGTTTATCCCACATAAACAGTGAAGTTCGAGGTATACTGAGTTGAATCTCAAAAACGCCTCAACCGCTCGATCACGCTACGGTGTTGCGTTGTCACTGTGACAGCCGAAAAATTCGGCTCCGGCTAATTGAGTGAAGACGGGAGTGAGGAAATATGCAAGTTAAATTTTAGTTGTGGGCGCCAGTCAATTTTACCCCTTCCGAATGCTTGTCTGAACCGTGTTCATGAATTACCAAATGAACTTCAGCACATCTGCCACAAAAAATTATCATAATGAACTGATTCATCATAAATAAAAAAAATTAAATAATGATCTGATTTATTATAAATATTTTGAGTCACTGTAAAGAATCTGCAAATTGCAATCATAAGTAATGATGTTTTCAATGCGATGCATGGAAAAGTCTTTCAGTAGTGACGTCCTGAAATCTCATTTGTTTGTTCCATATCTGAAAGAAGAATTTCAAAATATTATTTCAGCAACCCAATAAGGAATGTATATCCCATATATAATGTATAAAAACAGTTACAAAAATTAAAAGTCAGTCAACTTCACGGACGGTCAAACTTCGACACGTCTCAATTATTTTGCATAGTACAATACTTATTATCAATTATTGATAGATTAATATTCAAGACATTCACGCTTTCTCATTAGTCTAACTGTGAATGTATCATTCTATCCATTTCAATTAGTTTTAAATCGTAAGAATTTGCTTCGGAATATTTTTTTTTCTCATTTTGAATAGCAAAATAATATAAAAAATGGTGGTGTTTCTACTAACAATATTGATCCCTAATTTCGTTTGAACACTTTTATTATAGATCCTTGAGAGATTGTGTTCGCGTTTAGATTGAAACACAAACATGAAAATATCGTTTAATACTTTTGATATCAACTATCACCATGAGACATGAATCACCAAATACTGCTTCTGACGATTATACAGTGCGAACAAAAATAGTCCCTCCTGTCTTTACTCTTGAACGAAGGAAGTTATCAAAGTCGGGCAAAATTTATATGAGAAGAAATCATTCTTAGTATTTTGTTACATCACTCAAATCAAAGTTGAAAGGATGAATGTTTTTATTACTGTTGATTGTTCATATGTTTACCATCTGATGGTTTTTTTTTGTGACGAATGGAATTCCATAGAGATTCCCATATTTCACTTTTTAATTATATTAATGTTCAATGTCAACTTTCATATAATCGTTTATTCATTTTTCAACTGTATGATCTGACTGCAAATGAATACATGAATATATTCATTTGGACAAAACCGCATTGTTTCGAAATGGCAAGTTGGTTTCGCTTTTTAATTTTGTTCCAATTGCACATAGTTGGCCCATTTGTGCAATTGCCAATTCATTATTTTAATGATGCATTGTCTTTACCTATTTACATTTTAAACAGGTAATTGTTCAATAAATGAGATATACCTATAATATCTAAGTTATCATTACAAGAAAGAGTAGAATATTGAATTTTTTCGCATGGGAGAAAAAATCGAATTCTGGCTGACGGATAATTTCACTTTTGTATGAAAAACTGCAGTGGCGAAACACAAATTTCACTGAATTCTTTTTGACATACGCTATTCGTATGATTGTTGATGTTTTCACTTGACATAAAGATATGATTCAATAACACATTTGAATTTATCATGAATATGGAGATTTCTTNTTTTGTGACGATTGAGGAGATAAAAATCAAATTTCTGAAAGAGCTCAAAGACATACCAAAAAGTGCATATCAAAATTTCTTTAAGATTGGAAAAAACGCTGACATAAGTTGATGAGTAAATAAATATTTTTTGAGCGCTCGAGCGCCTCATCATTACATATTAAAAATAACAAAGCCTCAATACGTTGTCTGAACAGATTTTTGGTTGTTTTCATTCAATGCAGGAAGTGATTTGAACGGAAGGATCATGTTATACAATTGATTAACATTTTGTGAAGGTTTGCAACTCCAAAAAAGAACATAGTTTGTTGCCTACATTTTTTCCATCAGAAGATATTGAATCACTGAGCTCATTTCAAAAGGGTCCTTGATCATTCATGGGTGTAACTGTTATGATATATGAATGACACCCAAACGTTATATGAGATTTCATGGTTATTACCTTATAGCAGGTATGTAATTTCAGCAAATTTTCTGAAATACGTAATCAATTTGACACAGAAATTGACCTTATTGACACAGATCAAGCGAAACTAATCGTTAATCTTCCTGAGACTAATGCGATTTTCAGTAATTAGTGACTTTTTATTGAATAACTGACGTTGATAAATTTTCTATTGGAGATGGAGAAATGGAACATCATTATTTTTGCCTGAAATTCAGTTTTCCGAATTATGTCATTTCTATGAAAATCTTTATCAACAGCAGGGTGTTGAATATCTTGATGAAGATCTAAAAGTGATTTCGAATTGTGGTGGAAGTAACCAGGTTCAATTCAATTCAACAAAAACCCAGGTATCGGTTTTCTACAAGAAGATAAATGTTTCCGAACCGGATATAATAATGTCAAGTCAGAAAATTCCAGTTTTTGCTTCGATAAGTTTGTTAGGTGTTAAAATGGACACCAATATGTCTTGGCACAATCATGTCCCTGGAATTGCACAGGCTGCGTCTTAAAATTTTGGAACACTGTTCCAAACCAGAAAACTGTACACACCTCAGCAACTTCTGATGTTTATAAAGCTCAGACTGGACCTTCTTTGAAGTATTGTTCTCATGTATGGAGCTCCGCCTTGAAGTTGGTGGATTCCAACCAGAAAAGAGTCATCCTCCTGATTGGAGACGCAAGGTTCTAGCAAGGAACTGTCCGAAACCTAAAACATTTAAGGTCAGTCAAATTAATCAATTCAATATTTTCATTTCCTATTCTTGAAATATCGGTAGAGAATTCCATAACACATGTTTTCAGGTTTTTTGGACAAGAATAATAAGATTCACGTCGAACACTGTCAGATCTTTTATTCATTTTTTGGTGGTAAAACAAAAGCTTTCAAGGCATATTTATCTGGGAGAAATTCTTCCGAAAAGATATAGTTGCATCATACACATCATTCTTCGAGATATGAGGAGACACTCTAGAAAGTACCAACGGAAAGCCGTAGCAAGTATATAAGAAAAAATATCAAAAATGAGGATAACCCGTGAATAGAAGCCCTGAGTATGTTGATATACAGTTCATTCCTAAAAATAGAGGATAGTTTTAAGCATTTTCCTTTTCTCTGTGCACCTAAGACAGCTGTTGACGGGGGTAATGATTATCAAGTTCCAAAAAAACATATTTTCGTTACCCACGTCCAGCCCCGACAATAATCGACTAGCCTGGGCCGAACTACTTACTCTCTCATCTGGAGAACTGTGTTAATGTGGAATAAACTTCCTAAGAACTGTCGAAACGGTGATAGGTAAATTATTATTTACACGTGTTCAACGATAATATTTATTAACACAACACAACTACAAAACACTACAGCAAAATAGCAAGAAGAATTTGAGGGGCCACGTGGTTTGCAGAAAGGAGACCACGTGTTTGCAGGCCTAGCCCTCAGTGAATGGATTCGATGTTACTCACTCCACAGTTGGCATCAGAAAGAACTCCTGTCTCTGGATTTCTCCTCAGGTGGCGACCCGGAAGTTCAGGATAGCCAACGCACATTTCGAGAATTCGACTACTCGATTTTCGAGTGTTCGATTACAGGGTTCGATTTGGATGACTGCTTGACAATAAAGAATTTACATGTTTTTATACTAAGCAGTTGTAGGAAAAGTCCCTACAGAACGTTTTTCCAAATGGATTCAATCTCCAACAATTCAAATCCAATGTGAATCGCTACTTTCGTGAAGACACCGCTCTGAGAGAGCCTTGATGATTTTTCTGTAGTGCTTGTGTTTTGTCATTGAAAAAAATACTATACGTAAGGTTAATTTGCCGTTGATTCAGTTCAGAAAATGCTGTTCTGTTTTCAGTTTCGTTGACTATAGTTGATTCATAGACGCAGATCTTAGTTTTCTCTTCACCGCTATGATCCCTCTCTCTCATCGCAATCTCTGAATGTTTCAATAATAATAATAGCGTTTATTGCCCAACAGATTCCCATTTACAGAGCAAACCTAACATACTTGAACGATTAATACTATTTGATATAAGATCAGTACAATTTGATATAAAAAACATAAATGACTTATAGGTACGCAGGAGACTTATTTTTAATTTCACAAATACTGCAACAAAAAATATCGATGTCAGTAGAGAGCTTGTTCGCATTACGACACATCAGATTGATTAGTGATTTCAACCGAATAGCTGAAAGAGCTCAAAACATACCAAAAAGTGCATATCAGAACTGCTTCGAGGGTTGGAAAAACCGTAGGTACAAGTGTATTACATCAACTTTAAAGGAGACAAAATAGAAATTGATGGATAAATGAATATTTTTATCGAGAAAAATGAAAAATCACCTCATTTATTTAACATACCTCGTATATGAGGTCAGCTCTCAGCAAATCTAGGGAAACCCCAAAAATGAAGTCCACGCAAACGGAGTCGGGGAAAGATCCAATAATTAGAAGTGGAAATCAAACAATTGTACCATGTTTAACCTACCCTCTAGGTCATCTTGAATTCAGCATCTTGGAGCCTGGCTCCAACCTGTCTACCCTCTATAGAGGAAAGTCGCCTAATATGGAGGTAGTGCCTAATATGGGGTAGTTCCATTTTAAGCAAGTTCCGACACCTATTGTGAACATTAAAAACTAACCACCGACTTAATAGAAAGGGCCCATTCACGTTTTGAAGCAAACTCGTGTTGCGTTTCGATGATTTAGTTTATGGTAATTTTGTGAATGAATAAAAATTTTTGGTGACTGTTACATTTTAGATATTTTAGGAAACTCAAAGGTAAGTTTTCGAAAACTTAATAATATCATTCAATACAGTATTTGGCGTAGTTTATGGAAATGCTTTTGGTTTATTTAAGAAAACGTCACAGTTTTTTCACAAACATTTTCCTTTCAGAAATGTACTTTGCTCGTATTATGGGGTACCTATCGATTCCTAATTTGGGGTACCCTATATTAGGGGACTGTGTACTTTTCCTTATAAAACTAAAGTATTTTCTTTCAGATGCCTAAAAAACGAAAAGTTTGGAACAAGGAACAAATGATTTCAGCAATTTTAGCTGTTCGGCAAGGCGGAATGGGCTACAAGAAGAGTGCGCAGACCCACGGTATACCTCAAACGACCTTAGAAAGGTACGTAAAGATGAAGGGAGCGCCTGAAGACATTGTGAATTATTCGTTAGGGAGATAGACATCATAAACTGGTTTAGGCTCAACCCAGGACGTGTTGTATCAGGCTATCAGGTGGGAGAACTTTTTGAGAAAGCCTATATAAAAGCGGCCACCGTGGATACAGCTATAAACGGGTTTAGAAAAACTGGAATGTTTCTCCCTGATAGAAACGCATTCAAAGAATATGATTTTGTGGCAGAAATGCAAGGAGCAATTAATGAAGAAAGAGTAGAAACAGAAACAACGTATGAAGAAAAAGTAGAGGAAGACACAGTAGAGGAAGAACAATTAGAAAACAACGAGCCAAAAGAAAAAACCCCTAAAAGACAAGTCTCCCCTCTAAGACAGCAAACCGCTGAGAGACGGGTTACCCCTGAGAAACAGATTACCCCTGCAGTCTTGATGTCTGTTCCAACTGCTTCAAAAGTTATTATTGAAAAAAGGATCACAAAATGTGGAAAAGCTGCCGTTGTAACTAGCACTCCATACAAAGAGGAAATAGAGGCCAGTATAGAAAAAAGAAATTTACCTTCAAATTCGGGCGTCAAAAGAAAGATTGAGGATTCAAAACCAAGTCAGCAGAAAAAAATTAAACATAACCGAAAGAAAAAGATACAGTCAGTTGCTATAGAAAAAGCAAACAAACGCAAGTTGGTGTCCTGGAGTTTCAGATTCGGACCAACAGGTAGAAAACTTTGAAGAAGATGCTATTCGTATTTTTTGCGAAAATCCGTACTTCGAAGATGTCAAAGGCGAAGAGTGTGTCAAAGCTGCTTCAAATGGGCTCATGTTGAATGTGCTAATTGTGAAAGAAATCCATTTATTTGTGACTTTTGCATTTCTAAATAACTTGTTCTAAAACAACGATAAAAATAAAATAAATACAACAATAAAAATTAATTGGCGCTCCGGAGCGACTTCATTGATTCCAGTGGCGCATTTGCTTTTTAAGCTGCAGGAAAACCCGGAAAAACCTGCAGCACCACATCATCTGAAGATCTTGATCTA